TATTAAGGGATTATTGTGAATTTTCAAAACTTAAAGCTATTGCAGACAGGTAGGGGAAGAACCTGCTTTGTGCTTACTACTGTGCTAGATGCTTACTCAGATGGTTCTATTTTATTTATTTATTTTTTTAGAGACAGACTCTAACTTTGTTGCCCTCGGTAGAGTGCTGTGGCATCACAGCTCATAGCAACCTCCAGCTCTTGGGCTTAGGTGAGTCTCTTGCCTCAGCCTCCCAAGTGGCTGGGACTATAGGTGCCCACCACAATGCTATTTTTTGTTGCATTTTGGCCGGGGCTGGGTTCAAACTCACCACCATTGGTATATGGGACCAGTGCCCTACTCACTGAGCCACAGGAGCTGCCAGATGATTCTATTTTAATGCAGGGTCTTTTTCTGTTTCATTGAAATTCCTCAAAGCCAGTACAATAGAAGGGACTCAATTAGTAGCTTTCAATAAATAAGAAAAACTCTGTGAATAATTTACTGTTTATAAATGAAATAATAAAATGTCTGCCATTTGTTTCAAAGTAATACAAAAGGCCGGGCGTGGTGGCTCAGGCCTATAATCCTAGCTCTTTGGGAGGCTGAGATGTGTGGATTGCTTGAGCTCAGGAGTTCAAGACTAGGCTGAGCAAAAGTGAGACCCTGTCTCTATGAAAAAAATAGAAAAGCTGAGGCAAGAGGATCACTTGAGCCCAAGAGTTACAGGTTGCTGTGAGCTATGATGTCATAGCACTCTACCCAGGGGGACAACTTGAGACTCTGTCCCCCCCACCAAACAAACAAACAAACAAAAAAACCCCAAAGTAATCAAAAAGTTGAAGGGAATATGGATATAGTAAACAAGATTATCAAAGGTTGATAGTTGTAGAAACTAGATGGTTAGTATATGAGGGTTCATTACTATCTTCTGTGCTTTCTTTTATATATTTGAACTTTTCTATAATAAAATATTCAAAAAGGTCCAGCAATATGGAAAGTTATTTATATCTGTTAGAAGATTACACAGAAAATTGGAAATACATTGTCTTGACAACTTGTTATAATTAGTAATAAGCTTACTAAACTTTAAAACAGTAAGTTAGGGGCTGGGCACAGTGGCTCATGCCTATAATACCAGCTCTTGGGAGGCTGAGGTGGGTGGATTGCCTGAACTTACGGGTTGGTTCGAGACCAGCCTGAGCCAGAGTGAGACCCAGTCTCTAAAAAATAGCTGTGTGTCATGCTGGGCATCTGCAGTCCCAGCTACTTGGGAAACTGAAGCAAGAGGATCACTTGAGCCCAAAAGTTTGAGGTTGCTGTGAGCTAAGATGCCACGGCACTGTACCGAGGGTGACCAAAATAAGTAAGTAAATAGATAAATAAAGCAATGAGTTAAAGAATTTTTAAAAAGCAGAAAAGACACTTTGGGTCAATGTCAGAAGGTCCTGGCATTTTAGAGGCACTTCTTTTATCAATGCCCTGGACCACCCTGATTAGTAAGAACTTTTTTTAGATGATAGGATCTCACTGTGCCTGGGCTGCATGCAGCAGCTATTTGCAGGTCCAATCATAGTGCACTACAGCCTCAACCTCCCAGCTTCAAGCGATCCTTCTGCCTAGGCCTCCCCAGTAGCTGGGGATGCAGGCACATACCACTGCATCCAGCTGATAATGAGAATTTTTTGAGCTAGTAATTCTGAAAGGTCATCTTTTAGAGACCAAATGATCTGGTGAGAATCTCCCTAATATTTTCCTCAAATATAAAAGTATTAGTAATTTATAAATTAGCTTCAGCAAACCCAGTGGCTGAGCAAAAGCACTTCTGACACTGCCTCTCTCTGGTGTCCCAGGCCAGAGTACTATGGCCTTACCATAGCTAACAGCAACCTCAAACTCCTGTGTTCAAGTCATCCTCCTGTCTCAGCCTCCTGAGTGGCTGGGAATACAGATGACCACAACGGCCAGCTAAGTTTCTCTACTTTGAGTAGAGACGGGGTCTCGCTTTTGCTCCAGCTGTCCTGAAACTCCTGAGCTCAAGCAATCCTCCTACCTTTGCCTCCCAGTGTGTTGGGATTACAGGCATCAGTCACCACACTGGCCTCTTTTTTTCCCAATCCTACTTTTTGTCTTTTCCACCTTTATAAGGCTTACATTTAAATGTTAAACATTAAAAACATCAAATGTTCTTTGTATGTTTAGATGACGTGTTCACATTTAAAATGTGCTAATGAGTTTCTTAAATGAGTTTTTAAAACAGATAAAATGTTCAGGCCTCTATCTCTGAAGTTACTCCACTAAATTGTTTAAATTCTTCCTAAATGTATAAAAATTAAAACTATCAGAGGAAACTGTTGACCTACAAGATCTACTAGACATGAAACAAGAGAACACCAAGTTTTTGTACCGTATGCAGTCCTGTGAGAAAGTATAAAGATGAACTAGGATTACCTTCGCTAGGTCTATGACCACTTCAGGGAGTTTAGGGTAGCGCTTTTCAAGAGGGACTGTTTCCTTGATTTCAGGCAGCCTTACTCCAGCAAACACAGGATTTTTATAAAACAGCTCCTGATGTCTTGGAATGAGATTACCTGGAAGTGAAAACAGCAGACGTGACCTACAGAGCAGGGGGACGGTGGGCGGAGCAGGGGGATGGCCGCCCTCTCCTCCCAGAACCGGCTCTGCAGCAGCTGGCACAGCTCCCAGACACAGGGTGCTTCCCGGGCTTTGACTTGGGTCAGCTCAAGGAAATCAGCACTGTCATCGCAACATACTCACTGAAAAAGTTCATGTGCACTATAAATAGAATTAATGTGAGGGAGCACAAGAAAAGGGCAGGTAAGAACATGTTACAGCTTCTCAGACGGAAGTGCAGCGCGTCATTCCCAGTAACGAAGTGCAGAATACCGAGGGAAGCACGACAGCATCAACAGTGACACCGACAGAATCGGATCCAGATAAATCAGTTCCGCCCTTTAAGAAGTTAATTAACTCATTTCCTACCTATATGTAAGGTCAGATTTGAGCACTTTTCAAAAATGTTTTTTCTCAACTTTGATATGTAATTTATTTATTTTATTTATTTTTTGAGACAGAGCCTCAAGCTGTCCCCCTGGGTAGAGTGCTGTGGCATCACAGCTCACAGCAACCTCCAACTCCTGGGCTCATCCGAGTCTCCTGCCTCGGCCTCCCAAGTAGCTGGGACCACAGGCGCCCGCCACAATGCCTGGCTATTTTTTGGTTGCACCCATCATTGTTGTTTGGTGGGCCCGGGCTGGATTTGAACCCGCCACCTTAGGTTTATGTGGCTGGCACCTTAGCCACTTGAGCCACAGGTGCTAAGCTGTGATATGTAATTTAATATAAAATATATATATGAAAAATTCACTATGGAGGGCACCTGTGGCTCAGTGAGTAGGGCACCGGCACCATATACCAACAGTGGCAGGTTCGAACCTGCCCCAGCCAAACTGCAACAAAAAATAGCCAGGCATTGTGGTGGGCACCTGTAGTCCCAGCTACTTGGAGGTTGAGGCAAGAGACTTGCCGAAGCCCAAGAGCTGGAGGTTGCCATGAGCTCTGATTCCATGGCACTCTACTGAGGGTGACAAAATGAGACTGTCTCTGAGAAAAAAAAAGAAAGAAAGAAAGAAAAGAAACAAAGAAAATCCCATTGTAAGAAACCATTTATTGTTTATGAATTTCTAACCTGGAAACCTCAAATCAAATAATTAAATTACCTTCAGCTGTTTTCCCATTACTTCCATTTTCCAAGTTTTATCTTCAAACCTGCAGCTGATATTTCAACAAATGCGAGACTTTGATACTATAGCTTTAAAATTATGTCCGAAGAAACAACAAGAAAAGTCAAATCTGATGGGAGATCAAGGTGCCTGGGGAGTCTCTGCCTCTCTGCATGAGTGTGAGAATTAGAGCAGCAGTCGTCATGCTACACCAAGTGCTTCCGGACCCCCAAATAATAAATAGTCATTGCATCCTCTCTACATGTAATTAGCTAAATGGGAAGGTGCAGGGAAGCACACAGCCTCTGCTCTGCTCGGCTCTGCTGAGGCAGAGGAGGAGGCGCTTGGGATTAAGAGCATGTGTCCAAATAGACCACAGCCAGACACACACACAACACCCACACACAGAGAGGGCGCCGAAAATACGTATACACTTATTTATTTATCTATTTATTTGTTTTTTGAGACAAAGTCGCCCTCGGTAACAGAGTCTCACTTTGTTGCGCTCAGTAGAGTGCAGTGGAGTCACAGCTTACAACAACCTCAAACTCTCGGGTTTAAGCAATTCTCTTGTCTCAGTCTCCCAGGTAGCTAGGACAATAGGTACCCAGCATAACACTCTGCTAATTTTTCTATTTTTTAAATTAGAGACAGGGTCTCACTCTTGCTCAGGCTGGTCTCAAACTCCTAGGCTCAAGGGATCCACTTGCCTTGGCTTGAGTGCTGGGATTACAGGCATGAGCCACTATACCTGGCCAAATGTATACACACATTTTAAGAAACAGAAAAAATTGCATTAAATTTTTAATAATATATATAGATAATATTTCTCTTATATATTTAATCTTGTATCATGTAAAATATGACATGACTATTATACTTTTAATACAGTTTTTTTCCTTTCTTAAAATAGGTATACTTTTTTTTTGCTCAGTGCCCATAGCACAGTGGTTATGGTGCCTGTCACATACACTGAAGTTGGTGGGTTCGAACCCAGCCTGGGCCAGCTAAACAACAACAACAACTGAAACAACATAAAAAATAGCCAGGCATTGGTGGGCGCCTGTAGTCCCAGCTACTTGGGAAGCTGAGACAAGAGAATCACTTAAGCCCAAGAGTCTGAGGTTGCTGTGAGCTGTGACACCACGTTACCCTACCAAGAATGACACAGTGAGGGGTGTGTTGGCATTCTACTGAGGGACGCCACGGCACTCTACCGAGAATGACACAGTGAGGGGTGTGTTGGCACTCTACCCAGGGGTGCCTCAAAAAAAATAAAAAGTATACATTTTTTTGTATCCTCTGTGTGTGTGTATATACAGACACACAAATAAAGTTTTCTTATTTGTCCCTAATATTAACTCAAAATATATATCATCTTCAATATAACAATAGCTTAAAAATCGCAGACACATAGAGAAAAACTCTAAAATTTAAAATGTAGTTGTATAATCTTACCTAAACACATCATAATATGATACAGCTGATCAATGTCAGAATCTCCAGGAAATAGGGGTTCTCCCATGAGCATTTCAGTGACCAGACAACCAATGGCCCACACGTCCACAGCCCTGCAGGAGAGGTGAAGAGGGTGGCGTCAAGCTGGCGTCCTCCTGTGTCCACAGGGCCTGCACCTCTTCTGCGTGTTCCTGGCCCTGAGCTGGGTAGCACAGCACAGCCTGAGCACCCCACATCTGGAAATCTGAAATGCTCCAGAGTCCAAAACTTTTTGAGTCTGGACATAATGCTCAAAGTTTCAGATTTGGGATTTCTACATGTCCATGTTGGGGACGCTCAACCAGTATAACGCAAATTTTCAAAATCTGAAAAAATCCAGAATCCACAACCCTTCTGGTCCCAAGAATTTTGGATAAGGGATACTCAATCTGTAGTAAGCCTTTTAAATTACCCGTAATAAATACATTCCCTGGCTCCATGCCTGTGGCTCTAGTGGCTAAGGCGGCAGTCACATACACCTAAGGTGGCGGGTTCAAATCCAGCCCGGGCCTGCCACACAACAATGATGGCTGCAACCAAAAAATAGCCAGGCGTTGTGGCAGGCGCCTGTGGTCCCAGCTACTTGGGAGGCTGAGGCAGGAGACTCACTTGAGCCCAGGAGTTGGAGGTTGCTGTGAGCTGTGATGCCACAGCACTCTACCCAGGGGGACAGCTTGAGGCTCTGTCTCAAAAAAAATACATTCCCCTATAAATTTAAAGTTCTTACTCCCAATTTTACATATGTGAGATTTCCAGAAAGTTCAATCATGTAGCATAAGAAGGAGAAGGCTTCTGAAAAGCCGTAACAGTTATTATGTGTCCTTATTCTGAATGAGACTTCCAGGCTTCACTCACAGCCTGTTTGTTCTTTGTTTACACATAACTCTACAAGGCTGATCAGTCAGCCTATGACAGAGTACCCTATGCTGTGTCAGGATACCCTGAAAAATGCCTACCAGAAAAAGGAGGGGGTTGCTGGGAACAGACAGTAACAACAGAGAGCACTGAATCTGATAAGAGAAAATTTAAAACTGTCTTAAAAATCATCACAAGAACTCAAAGAATGTATATGCATCATTAGCATAGGGACAACTGCCTAGAAATTGCTTAAGGTCATTGCTGAATTATAAAATGGTACAAAAATTATACCATGTTCATAAAATGAGAAGTCAAAGTAATAAAGAAAAGAGTGGGTGGTGCCTGTGGCTCAAAGGAGTAGGGTTCCGGCCCCATATACTTGAGGTGGCAGGTTCAAACCTGGCCCTGGCCAAAAACTGCAAAAAAAAAAAGAACTATCTCAAGGGCAGTGCCTGTGGCTCAAGGAGTAGGGTGCTGGCCCCATATACTGGAGGTGGTGGGTTCAAACTTGGCCCTGGCCAAAAACTGCAAAAAAAAAAAAAAATCAATAAATACAGGGGTAAACATTTGGGCGACACCTGTGGCTCAGTCGGTGGGGCTTCAGCCCCATATACCCGAGGGTAACAGGTTCAAACCCGGCCCCAGCCAAACTGCAACAAAAAAATAGCCGGGTATTGTGGCAGGCACCTGTAGTCCCAGCTACTTGGGAGGCTGAGGCAAGGGAATCGCTCAAGCCCAGGAGTTGGATTGCTGTGAGCTTGGTAAGGCCATGGCACTCTACTGAGGGTGACACAAAGTGAGACTCTGTCTCTACAAAAAAAAGAAAAAAGAAAAGAAAAGAAAATAGTAAATGATATTAGTATACTCTGAACACAGAGAAATTGTAAAAAAAATTTAGAAAGATTTCTATGAAAAGCAGTAAAAATTACAATCCTTTCTTCTTTGAAGAATTCACTTATGAAGGTGATTTATGTTTTACAAATGTTTCACTTAATTATATTTTGCCTCCACTCTTGCCTCCTCCACCTGGCCTCATTCCAATAGTGCCAGACTTATCTGATTAATGTTCACCTCTCTTTGAAAGATAAAATAAAGATTAAACATGTTTCCTACCCACTGTATGAAACAGACCACTTACTCAACTTAATTTCCCCACCTTTAAAATAAGTACACCCACTCCAACTAGTTTCATAAGACTGTTTAAAGGGGAAGCACCAAAAATGATTACAAATTACTTTACAAAGATCTCTGAACTCAAACCTTCCTTTCAGTGTTAGAGGGACCATTGCTTTATTTATAGACATTCCATTTTCTCAGTAAAAGAGAGTTGAAATCTGTCCCCTCCCATTTCTTACTTGCCATACTTGACATCACCAACCAGCAGCTCGGGGGCTCGGTACCATCGGGTCGCCACATAGTCAGTATAAACCTCCCCAGGTGCCGCCAATGTGCGTGCAAATCCAAAATCACATAACTTGACAACACCCGACTGGGAGACTAATATATTCTCTGGCTTTATGTCTCTGTGTATGATCTAGAAAAAGCAGAGTATATAAGATATTAAACAAAACCATTTCTTTTGGCACCTGCCGTGTGCAGGGTGCTGTTTCTGTCCCCGTGAAGAACACAAATAAAAGCACATAGAGTTGCTCCTGGCTCTGATACCTTAGCTGCCACATGAGTTGCATTTAACTTATGCTAGTTTTGAGCCCTGGGTCTTGTGAAGTATATATAACTCACACGTCTCTTGACCTATCTTCATCTAATAAAACACCATGGCCCTAAGGAAAAAGAATACTTTTCTAGTGTGGCAATGTGTTAAAGAACCTAGAACCTAGTTGGGCAAGAAAGAACAGTTATGCATCAGATGCTATTTAAACAATCAAAGATATTAGATATCAAAAATATATATAATATATAATTAATTACCAAGTCAGCTGTTTGGTTAATGAATGTTCTCAAGCCAATGTAAAGCTATCATTACAGCTGGGGTGGTCGAGGAAAGTTTTTCTGAAAGAGGTAGGCTTTAAGACAGGGGTTTAATACCAGTGTGACCTGTTCAAAGGCAGAAACGGAGGGCAATCCAAGTGAACATGATAAGGAGAACCAAAGTGGAGATGGGAATGGATGGAGAGATTGTGGGAAAATGTTTCTTCCAACACAGAGGTTGTGTGAGGGATGCCTTAGCCGCCAGCCTGGGGGGTATGCGAGCTGGGTCGAGATCCTAGGAATCCATGGAAGCAACGTGGCCAACGTGGTGTTCCAGGATGCTGGCCATAAACAAGAGAACCATAACAGGAGACTGGAGGCCCGGAGAAGAGCAGTGTGACGACCATGAGGGGAGAAGGGCCTGACCAGGCTGGTGCTCAGAGAAATTAAAGGGAGACAGTGTAGAAATATTCAAGAGTCAACAGAACTTAGTACAGCTCAGATATTTCATTCAAACCTAAGATCTACGATAATGGTAGTTCCATGTTCAAACACAGAAAAGTCTGGAAACAGCTGATTTTGAGGGAATAGTTTAGTTTTAGCCATACAGACTTTTGACTGGCATGCTGAGCTTCTGAGCAGAGTTACTCATCAGGCAATCAGAAATGTAGAGAGAGCCAGGCGTGGTGGCTCACGACTGCAGCCCTGCCACTCTGGCAGGAGGACTGCTTGAGCTCAGGAGTTCCAGAAAAAGAGCCTCAGCAAGAGTGAGACCCTGCCTCTAAAAAAAGCCAGGCATTGTTGCCGGCAGCTATAGCCCCATCTACTTGGGACTGAGGCAAGAGAATTGCTTGATGAGCCCAAGAGATTGAAGTTGCTATGAACTGTGACACCATGCCAGTACCAAAGACGACAGAGTGAGACTCTGTCTCAAAAAAAAAAAAAAAAGGCAATGTAAAGAGGGTACAAAAAGGTCAGCAACTAAGATTTCTAAAGGAAAGACTCTAGAAGAAGAAAACCGGATGCTGGGATAGAGACCATATTAAAAATTCTATACCTAGGCAAGACAAATTTTCTACCACTAGCATTCATTACCTTTATAATCACACAAAATCTCATTTAAAATATTTTGTAAGACTGGCAGAATCTGCATGCTGAGTTAATCACTTTATAATATACTTTATAGATCTGATTCTTCCTACAGGTGGTTTTATATGATACTCAAAAACATAAAATTATTGTGGTAGACTATACGATAGAGATTTTTATACTTTCATACTTCATAACTAGGCAAGGGAACATGAACTAACAAGCACAGACCCTTGAGTGTATACATTTGTCAAAATTTATCACTTAAAATTTGTGTACCTCACTCAGTAAACGTTACCTCAAAAAAAAAAGCCCCAGCAAATACCTTTACATTGTTTATGCAATGAAGTAAGTCCTTCAGATAATGACATGCATAGATGAGGTATTTAGTGTTGAAGTGACTGACGTCTGAAACTTACTTTCAAATGCATAAGTAAATATAAGACAGATTAATAGATAGATTAATGGGCGAATAAATATGTGATAAAGCAAACATAGCAAGATGTTAATAAGCATAGACTCTAGTTGGTGGGTATGCAAGCATTTGCTGTGCATACTTTTCAACTTTTCAGCATGGCCTAAAGTTTTCACAGTAAAAAAGGGTAAAAAATACATGTATTATGACACAGGAAATCAATATCAAACTAACAGTCAATTTCAGTTATTTTATTTAATACTGGTTCAAACTTTAAACAAATGTCTCACTAAATAAAGTGACTGGTAGCTGGATAGTCAGTCATTGGCAAAATAATTATTTAAACCTTTTACTTACATTGTGACTGTGACAGAATCCAATTCCATTAATAATTTGAAACAAATACTTTCGAACTACTTGGTAGTCTAGTCCATTTGAAAAGAGCTCCAAGTCATCAAGAACTGTGTGGTCAACAAACTCAAAGACTAGGTACCATCGTTTCTTTTTCTTACACACTTCCAACAGATTCACCAAATTTTCATGCCTCAGTTGCTATTATAAAAAAAGGCAAAATAGTTTTCACAAGATCAAATTATTGACAATCAGTCATAATTTAAAATACATTTAGCATAAGAAAAACATAAAACGCATGAACAATGTAAATCGAAAAAGTATATTCTGATTTTTAAATTACAATCGAAAGACTGTATTGCTCCTTTCTCCTCTCAGAGAACACAATAGAGCCCATGAGAAAAAGAAATGTAAATCTATTTTTGATGATGTGAAGAGGAATCCTTGACCCCTACCTACCACAAACATGGGACTATCAAATGTAATCAAGATCAAACAGCAGTACAGGAAGACACCGAGAGGTCATCTGTGGCTAAAAAGCTAGCAAAGCAAGAGTTCTCCAAAGTGACATACCTTGAAAAGAAAAAAAAAATTCTTCTTTGATATAATGAGAACAGAGTTCATAGGCATCAGTGAAAACAACTCTAGAGCTGAATGCCACCAATGAACAGCAGGGGAGGGAGGGCTAAATAAGTAATTAATTACATGGAAACATATTGCTTGGAACAATCTCAGTGAGGCAGAGTAGAAAGCAAAACAATGCACTGTGAACAGTTTCATTCATTACAAACAAATTCCAGAGAAATTAAGGAAAGAGAATTCAATCCCATACTTAGGCCTGTGTCATAACATCCTTGGTGGATTCCTGCTAGCCTGGACCAAAATCCTGGGCTCGCTTCCAAATAAACTTAGAAATAGCTGATCCAAGAAGGACTTATTCATGAAAAGATGACAAACAATCAAATAGAAACCAATCCAGGATCTATTTAAGTTAGTGTAAGAAAAGAGAGCGAAAGGAAAAAGGAACACAAATGGCAGATTAACTCGCACCAGACAAAGTGCTGCCACCTTTAAAGGGAAAGAACCACTAGAACACAACTCTCAAAACCCTCAAGGAAGGAAAAGGGTCCAGGAGCTTTATGCCCAATCCAACTGCCACTCAAGAAGAAAGAAAGAAAGAAAAAAGAAAGAAAATAGGGAAAAATTTTGAACATGAGTCCTGAATCCATTCAGTGCAGTCTTATATAAAATAGAAAGTGAATATTTTAAATTAGCAATTCCCAAATGATATTACTGACAAATATAAGAAAGGAGTTGGGCTTGATGGCTGATGTCTGTAATCCTAGCACTCTGTGAGTGGGGACGATAGCCTAAGCCCAGGAGTTCAAGACCAGCCTGAGCAATAACAAGATCCTGTCTCTACTAAAAAAAATAGAAAAAATAGCCAGGTATTGTGGCAGGTGCCTGTAGTCTTAGCTACTTAGGAAGCTGAGGAAAGAGGGTCACTCCAGCCCAAGAGTTTGACGTTGCTGTGAGGTATGGAGCCACGTCACTCTACTCCAGACACAGAGTGAGACTCTGTCTCAAAAGATCAATCAATAAATAAAAATAGGAAAAAAAATAAGGAAGTCAGAGACCATACAGAAAAATATTTTAAAGAAATAATGAAATGGCACGATATTATAAATAGTAATTCCTAGTACACAGTGCTAGTACTATTCTAAGCACAAAAGCCCTATGAAATAGGTACAGTTCTTAAATCCTGTTTTATATCCAAAGAAACTAAAGTACACAGAGTTTAAGGAACTTGTCCCAAGATCACACAGAAATAACTGGTGGAGGTAGGAGTAGAACCCAGGAATTTGTGGTCTCTATATCCTCTTGAAACATTTTATTTTGTTTAATTCCTCCTTTGTGTACAGAACACTTCACTGTAAACTCACTCAGACCCACAACTGATTTGTATGCAAAAAAAAAAAAAATTAGATTTCCTGGCCTGGCTTGATGGCTTATGCCTGTAATCCCAGCACTTTGGGAGACCAAAGCAGGAGGGTCACTTGAGGCCATGAGCTTAAAACCAGCCTGGGCAACAGAGACTCTGTCTGTAAAAAAATAAGAAAAATCAGTCAGGCATGGTGGTGCACACCCTTAAATTATCAGTAGGTGTAAAATGTAAGTAGGCTATCTCAGGAACAATTCAACTTCAAGAGATACAAATCCCTTAAATTGAATTAAGATGACAGTAGAATGTTAGGGCTGTCAGATAGTTCCCGGAATACTGTGCCTTCAAGAGCCTCAGAGAAGCAGACATAACTTCTTTCACGGGGTAGACAACATTATCCAGAGACTCAAATGATGTCTACAGTTAATAATAATATAAGTATATCAAGACTTAATTAAAAAACAAGAGAGGATGGCACCTGTAGCTCAGTGGGTAGGGCAGGGGCCACATACACGAAGGCTGGTGGGTTCAAATTCAGCCCAGGCCTGCTAAACAACAATGACAACTGCAACAATAACAACAAAAATAGCCGGGCATTGTGGCAGACACCTATAGTCCCAGCTACTTGGAAGGCCGAGGCAAGAGAATCGCTTAAGCCCAAGAGTTTGAGGTTGCTGTGAGCTGTGACTCCAGGCATTCTACCCAGGGCAACTGAGTGAGACTCTGTCTCAAAAAAAAAAAGAATATAACATAGTCAAAAAAGCAAAATGCAAAGTTTCTAGTTTGGCAGCAAACTGGAAACTATAAGAAAATAATCAAATGGAAATTTTAGAATTGAAAAATTATATCTTTTATTAGGAAATCAATGATTGAATCTAATAGATTAGAGATGGCCGAAAAAGAATTGCAGGACAGGTCAGAAAAAAATATATATAGAATGACACAGGATGAAAATACAGAAAAGAGTATAAGAGGTCTGTGAGTAAGGACTATATATGAAACTGAATTCTTAAATGGAGAACAGAAAGAAAATGGGATAGCAATATAAGAAGCAACAATAGCTGAGCATTTGCTAAAAATTACAAATGATATTATAAAAATGTACAGCCACAAAACTGAAGCAAAATAAATGAAAAAAAACCCCGCACACCCAGGTACATTATTGTTAAACTCCTGAAAACCAAAGTAAAAAATAAAACTTTAAAAGCATCCAGAAAAAAAGATATGAAGAAGCACAATAAAAATGACAGGTGGGGTGGTGCCTGTGGCTCAGTGAGTAGGGTGTTAGCCCCATATACTGAGGGTAGTGAGTTCAAACCCAGCCCTGGCAAAACTGCAACAACAACAAAAAAATAATAAAAAAATAAAGTTTAAAAAAAAATGACAGGTGATTTTTCAATCAAGCAATGTGAGCCAGCACAATAGTGACATCATATCTTGAACATATTGAATTTAATTAACTGCCAACCTAGAATTCCATATCCTGTGGAAATAATCTTTTTTTAAAGACAGAGACAGGATCTGGCTACATTACCCAGGCCAGAATGTGATGGCTATTCATTCATAGGCACAAATACAGTCTCAAACCTCTGGGGTCAAGCAATCCTCCTGTCTCAGCCTCACAAGTAGCTGGGACTATAGGCATGTGCCACTGGGTCTAGCTTAAAATGCTCCTTTAAACACAATGTAGAATGGAGACAGTTTGGGGAGGGGGTTTTGAGACAGAGTCTCACTCAGTTACCTAGAGTAGAGTACTCTGACATCAGCCTAGCACAAGCAACCTCAAACTCCCAGGTTTCAAGAGATCCCCTGCCTCTGCCTCCCAAGTAGCTGAGAATATAGATGCCCACTAGACTCCCCAGCTAATTTTTCTATTTTTAATGGG